TCGGCGAACACTTTTGACCGCTACTGTATGGAAGAATAAAGAATGAAGTTTTATTTGATCAAATCTTTATCAGATGCGCCACAGATTAACCCAGCACCAAGCCTTCACCTGTATCACCTGTCGTCCCGTTGATCGTCGACTTGCTCGAGCGGGCGCCAGCAACGTCTCCATTCGTCCCTGTTGCATGCTGGAGTGGTCCAGTGGTTCCTCCTCGCTCGAGGGACACGAAGCCGTTCATTCCTTCTCGTTCAGAGCTTTCGTGAAGAAGTCTGACCATCGGGCCGGCGGTCGTCCAGGTGTTCGTTTGACGTCCCGAGGGATCCAGTCGGTAACCGCTCTGGTCCAACGGTCATCGCAAAATCGCATGACGTGTCCGGCCCACCTTATCTTCGATTCCTTGGCGAAAACGGCAGCGTCCCTGATCTTCGATCGTTGGCGTAGTTCCGAACTCCGGATTCCCCTCTGCACTTGCGTGTATAGGGTTACTCCTAGCATCGTCCTCTCGACAGCGCGTTGGATAACGCTGACCGCATGCTCGTCCTGCCTGCGCAGAGTCCAAGTCTCTGAGGCGTAGGTTAGGGCAGGAAGGACAGCGGAATCGAAGAAAGCTCTGAACGAAAGGAATGAACGGCTTCGTGTCCCTCGAGCGAGGAGGATCCACTGGACCACTCTAGCACGCGACAGGGACGAATGGAGACGTTGCTGGCGCCCGCTCGAGCAAATCGACGATCAACGGGACGACAGGTGATACAGGTGAAGGCTTGTGCTGGGTTAATCTGTGGCGCATCCGATAAAGATTTGATCAATAAAACTTCATTCTTCATTCTTCCATACAGTAGCGGTCAAAAGTGTTCGCCGAAACGGTTTTTCGTGCTTCTCTTTTTTTGCCAAAAAATCAATGGTGACCTCGAAAATTTTTTCTTTTGAATATCCTGATTCTTTAAGACTTGAGGATATAAAACTAGAAAAACATAGTATATCAATCTTTGGAGGGCGTTGCTCAAGCGAGAAAAAATAATGCACTGAAATCGTTTCGGTGAATCACTTTTGACCGCTACTGCATATGCGACTGCATTTCCTTTCACTCGATCGAGGCCTCACTATCTTCAGAAAATGTCTAGAAAGTTTTCAGTGAAATTCAGGTCGTCTGTCTATAAATGAGCTCATTTGAAAACGCGGTCGGAAGAGCAATATTTATCGAGTGAAGTAATAGAACATAGGCGAGATATTCAATTTATTCATCTTCACACAAATGTATAAATCTCAAATCTATGTGTACAAAAGGAATGATTTGTTTCTGAAATAATGCGGCAACCCCAATATCGGAAGCCAAGCTCATCAGTGCTTCTCAAGTGACCGAAATTCTTAAGAATAACAAACAATATCGGAGCACATCTACGACAATCACATCTCCATAAACTTATAGCTATAATAAAAGTATCTTCTCAAACAGGCGTTACCTATACATGCTAAAATCTTTCTGAACAAAAAGCTGATCATAGCCTTTAATCATTGTTCTGGTTTATGTTCCCTACTGAGCAACTTGCACCGCTCCATAGAATTCCATACAACTTGAGATATTTCATACTCGCTGAAATAAACTTCCGACAAATCTTGAAATGGACACTTGGTTATTCGTGAAAAAATTTATAGCGAGAATTCTACCATATACGAATTTGATTCATTTCTTGAACTTGCTCTTTCTATTTGAAATCTGATCAAACGATTTTTCATTCTGAACATTTTTGAAAAGTAAATTGAGTAACTCAAATTTGCGGAAGTTACTGATTTTAAACTGAAATTCTCGAATTTAAATGCGTGTGTCAGAAATCTAGCGATACTGAACAAGACATCTGTGACTCCACTCACCCTGGTACACACTCCACCCATCTATTCACTTTTTTCACGAGTTCGGGGAGTTTTTGAAGCGTTTGGCGATTTTTCATTGTTGCTCCTTCCAATTCAGTGTGTGCTCCACCCACCAGCAATGGTTGAGCCACGTCCTTCTCCAACCATTACGCAGTGTTTCCAGTCTTAGGGCACTCACAAAAGCGAAACATGATATTTCGTAGCAAACCCCGCCCAGATCGATGCACGCCCCTTCCACTAGTAGCAAATGATCTTCCTTCCTTCGCCAGCCTTAATCTTGTCTTTCCTTGATCGCTAAGACTTTTCGAAAACGAATGCGACGGTGTCGAACTTTGCGAATCGAGCTGTCGGTGTCAGACTTCGCAAAGTCTGACATCGGCCTTATGAGGATTTTAGAGGACAGGAAGACTCCGCCCACTGTGGGTAGTTCCACTGATTTCAAGGTATAGGAGCACCTAAGTCATTGCTCTTCTATATCAAGTTCACTCTGCCGTTTCCTCACAACCGAGATATGAAGTTTTCATTGAGCAAGCCTATGGGAGACATCATGCTCGGACCTATTTCGAAATATTTTGTTTTGGGGTTCAACTGCTTACCTGAGCACCTGATAATCGCAGCCCTGAAGAAGTGACCACCTGATTGAACGCATCACTAACTCTGATTCGCTCATCTTCGGACATGGATCGAGAAACATAGAGGCAGATTGACCATATTGCAGCCTCCTGAGGTGTTTTTAGTCGAAGCTGCAATAGGAAAAGATTTAGATAGAGACCCCATTAGAAACGTTCTCTGAAAACTTTCTAATGATATAAATGATATGAAGAGAGGCAGCGAGACGAAGAAGGAGAGACGCATAATATGGCAGCGAAGAGTAAAAAATAAATATAGATGCCTTTCTCCTTTCTTTGAAGGTAGAATATCATACTATTATATAAACCAGAGTTTGTTTGTCTGACCGCTCCCCAAAAATTCGCAAGTGTCCCCCACATGTTTATAATTCTTCCTTCAAAAATCACCTAGGGAGGGCGGGTCAAGTTTGGAATGGGTAGAGTATGAGTCCCTCTTTAAGGGAGATATATTGGTCATGC